GGAAAAGAAAAGAAATGTAATGAAGGGAAATGAAATAGTGTGTTTGGTGTAGTTTTTTAAAGGAAAAGAAAGGAAACGGAGGGGTTTGGAAGGATATAAATTAGGAATGAAATGTTAGTTCTGTAATCCTCCCGAAAATGGGAGGAAAGGGAAGGAAAGACTAACATTTTTAATGAAACTTTATTAATACCGAATTTGTCTTTACTTTAATAAAAGACAAAATCTATGAAAAATTGTATGATAGTAAATTTATTTAGATAGTTTCATTTTCTTTCTTTTCCGAAACATAATTACTATCATTTTTTTATTTTCCTTTATTAATGAACCAAACAAGATGAGTAGTTAACAATGTCATCTCCTTTCCTTTCCTTTCTTTTCTTTTCTTTCCTAACTAATGTTATGCTTTCTTTTCTTTTTCACTGTACCAAACAATAGCCTTAGGGCTTAGGATTATGAATGATTTATCAAAAAGATTTAAGCCACCTATAAATGAAATTAGTTATGGACAATTGTCTGATGCATTGTAAAGGAGGATTACTTTGATGGACTTCAATGTAGACGTCTGTGATGAATATGGTAGAGGTAGAGCATGATTACTTTGATGAACTTCAATGTTAACGTTCTGTGGTGACTATGGTAGAGGAAGGCTATGTATCTTTATACTTTCGGAAAGAAAAAACTAAGAGAGAGAAACTAGCTTAAGAAAGAGGAGAGAATGACGTGGGTAGAGAAATACGATATCGTATTTATTATTTGTGATACAATCTTGAATTTTTTTTCATGAAGTCCAGCATTGCTCTGCTATTATTCTCTAAACTAACCTTGAAGGATTAACTAAAGTCTAAGGTTGTAATATATATATATATAGAGAGAGAGAGAGAGAGTAGTGATCTGTTACACCATGTGGAACAAGAAAATTCATCCGCACTTTCTACAATGATCATTATATCTAATCTAATGGTCATTATAGAATCTCACTCACATCATTTTCTTTTAATACAAAACCACTGTACTATTTCGTTTCTAAATTTAATATTTATCAATATCACTAATTACAACACTAAAAGGTAATTATCCAAAAAATAATTGAAACCTCTTCACCTCTAGAAATCATGTATCTCTTAAACAAATAATTACAAGAGACAAATAGAAATAAGAGATTTTAATCCATTAAATTTTAGGGTGGCGCACTCCACTTTCCTATAATTGCACTACACTCTTAAAGAAAATGATACTTCTATCCCTAATTTTATAAATAAGTAATTATTTTTTCCAAATTTACAATTACCCTTTCAGTTATAGAAATTGTTGAAGCGAAAATCAGCACGCCTGGGATGGCATCGTTTCCCTGGAAAGAAAAGAGAAGAAAAACGATGAACCTCGACTGACACCGGTATGGTACCCGTCAAGAGCTCACTATTTATTTCACATCTGATCCAGATGAGAAAGAGATTGGGTATATATGGGTGGATATGCAACACACTGCTTAACATCTTATATTTTTGAATCAAAAGGCCAGCATTCGATTTTAAAATCGAAGCCAGACTCCCTGTTATAATTGGTATCAAAGCCGAACTCCTCGGTCAATAAAAAATATCATGAGAAAGAACAAGGGAAGAATTTGTAAGTGAGGAATTTGCAAGTTAATAGATATATGTCAAAGATAGGTAGTTACTTCCCAAATTCTATCAATTTTCCTTGAAAAAAAAATTAAAAAAAACTTATAATATTTATGATAAAATTCCTTCAAATTCTATTCACTTTTAAAATTTCATCATTTCAAATAAGTGAACTCTTTTTAAAATTTAATTTTTATGAAATCCTGGAATTTCAAACATGGTGATAGTAGGCAACCATTTGATTTTTCACTGGCTAGTATGTTTTTAAATGTTCAAAACAATCAATGATTTTATGCAAATATTTTGTAAATTATTTGTTTTGTTGTAAAATATTTTTCTAAATATATATTTTTTGGTATTTTCAAACATATTGATTATGAATATACATATACAAGGCATAATAAACTCTATTAGCGGATTGTGATGTCAAATGTCTTGGCAGCAAATACGTGACACTACAACACAATTTAAGGTCTTGTTTATTCAAGCATTTTGCTGTGATTTGGAACCTTGTCCGTGTAAGTTTCATCATCCAAACAAAAATATCTAAATCAGATTGTTTATACCTCCCAATCAATAACCCCCTTCTTTTTTCTTTTTTCTTTTTTCTTTTTTTTTTAATTTTTTTTAATTTTAATTCTCATACTGAAGTTATCGGTAACTTTCCTGGAATGAGAGTGTCTATGCCAGGTGGTATATTATAGTATGCTATAAGTAGGACGGAGCCAGCTTATAAAATATTACTGTACTATAATATATAATATATCTAGATATAATATTTATAAAATATTACTTCATGCCCCTCTAAAATTAAAATTTTTAAAAAAATATTATTAGAAATGAATTTTTTTTTCACACATATAAAGTATATAATTTGTAAATTACTACTTTGTGCCTCCTTAAAACTAAATCCTGGCTCCGTCCCTGTCAATAAGAGTAGGATGACACCATCTTGATAAAAATAAAAAAAATAAAAAATAAATTGACATTTCAGAAAATATATGTAGAGGTGAGTGGCTGGTATGAGAATATAGTTTTGGTAGTGTAAGATATCAAGGGACATATATTCTCTAGTAAGCATAAAAGGTGTCATTGAACATATATAGTATCAAACAACATAGGAAATAATTATTTTGATAATATTCCAACATTAGAACAAAAAGTTAATCTTTAAAAGTACTTGAAACCATGAAGACAATGACGATGGTGTTATGTGATGAGGGACATTATAGGTCGTGCAAACGTAATACATAAAAATCACAGCCTAGGTGGGCATTCTAACAAAATGGATCTCCTTTCATGTCTTCATTGACATTCCAAAGTGCTCAAAATTATTTAAAACTGTTGTTGTAAAATCCTCATTTTTGGAGTTAGAAATTAAAGAAAAATTAATTTAAAATTTATACCAGCTTAATCCCCATTTTTTATTTCAAAACATTATTTTCAATTACAGCATCAAAATTTTCAATTAGTGTTTTTACATGCTTTAGATTAACTACAACCTATACCACTTTGAACACATAATTTTTGTTATTATCGTTGTTACCTATTTAACTCACTTTTGACCGTCTAAACTGAATTGATCCTAACCAAATTCAAAAAAAAAAAAAAAAAAAAAGTTAGGAACTCATTAAATTATAATTTAATGAGTTCCTAACTTTTTTTTTTTTTTTTTTTTTTTTCTTAAGATATATAACTTACAATTTACAAAACCATATATATATATATATATATATATATATATATATATATATATCCAAAGGTTTTATTTATTGAAGGCCAACCATGGTCTTAAATAAAGCTTTTACTTTCTAAATTGAATAGACTCAATTTGACTTGTTAGTTGTCGCCACTATATTGTGCAACGGCTAACTTATACGTAATATTTTTTTCCCATTTGTTGTTATTATGTCTCTCCCTTTCTGGCAAGCATCATGTTTTCATATGTTTCTTGTTAGTAACATTATATAGGGTTAAGGGCAAAAAAATTCACCTAAACTATTGTTTATTTGCAAATAACTCTTCTGAATTAAAAATCGCCCCACTGAACTATTGATTTGTTATAATTAAGGACAAATTTATCACAAAAGACTATTTTATCATTTCTCATTAAAATTTTCATTTCTTATTAAATTATTTTTATTATATTTTCTCTTATGTAAATATTAATTATACTATTTACCTTGATTTTATTTTTAGTATCAATTTATTATAAAAATGAAAAAAAATAGATAAATAGATTTGTAACTATTATTTTCTAAATTGATTAACTTATTATGAAAACTTTATTTTTTATAATAAAACGTATTACAACCAATTTAAACATTTTATCGTAAAAAAAAAAAAAAAAAAAAAAAAAAAATCATTTTTTTCATACAATATATTGATGAAAATTTAATAAAATACTTTTGAAAAAAATACCTTCATTTCATGTGATATATTCATTAAAAATTTTAAAAATTAAATAATTTTTTTAATTTAAATAATTAATTAAAAAAAATAAAGTTAAATTTATACAAATTTAATGAAAAATATCTCATCAAACTAATATGAATTTTTTCATAATTTATTTAGATAAGAGAAATATATTAAATGTAATTCAATAAGAAGGGCATTATGGTCATTTAATGAAATATAGTATAGTTCTTAGGGTATGTTGCAATAAAATGTGATAGTTAAAATTGTTTTATGTACAAAATATAGTTCATTTGCAAATTCAAACATAATTCAAGGACCTATTATATAATCTGCAAATCAGAGGTCTTAAAGCATGGGCTTCTGTGGGCCCCAATTTGATGATTCTTTCCTGGCCCAGCAACAACCAAAAATTCACTATTACTGTATAAATATAGAGAGAGAGAGACTTGAAAAAGAGAGATTCGGCCTTTGGGCCTGTATACCTTACCCCCAAAAAAATTTTGGGCCAATTAAGTCCAAGCTGACAAGAGACTAAAAAAGTGTAAATACAAAATAGATGATGTTGTCAGTGTTGGCCATTTTGATGGAGGTGATAAGAGGCTACTAAGAAAGAACTGAAGTTCGAATTGAAAGCTGGGAATTTTTGTTTTAAAATTCACTTGAAGGAAATCAGTTTCCTCCAATTTCAATTCCGAAACACCGAAACACCAAAGCTAATATATATATATATATATATATATATATATATATAGTTTAGTCTGTAACGTAAAACTGTGAAGGAGTAGATAATGGGTGGATAGAGGACACATAACATGAACAGCTTGAGCATTCATATTAATGTTTTTATTTTTATTTTTATTTTTTTTAATGGAAAAGGAATATGGTTATTCCATGTATATATAAATATATTTCCTTTTGGTATGATGTGAATGAAAAGGCTTGTATAAATGTGAAGTCTTCAACTTTTGGTGTGATCTAAAAATACTCAATAGCCTAACATTTAACATAAAGAAAATGTATTTAGTAAACATGGAATAACCATATTCCTTTTCCATTAAAAAAAAATAAAAATAAAAATAAAAATAAAAACATTAATATGAATGCTCAAGCTGTTCATGTTATATGTCCTCTATCCACCCATTATCTACTCCTTCACAGTTTTACGTTACAGACTAAACTGAACTTCAATCTGCATCCCAATATTTGGTAAGAATCATTAGTACCTCCTTGTAAATCTCCTCATCGTTATGATTTTGGACAGACTCTATCTTATCCAGCCCCTCAGCTTCTTCAATCATTTCAGCATAGTGATTGACCCCTCCAGTAAGACCCATGTTCTTCTCATCTTCTCCAACCTTCAAGATGTTTTCTAGCCCTTTCAAGCAGGCAGACACAATCCTCGGGTCAGAACAAGTTAGAAGATCGCACAATGGCTTGATACATCCTCCATCCACTAGGTATCTATCAGAAACAAATATAATTATTCATTTGTATTGAAATGTTCGATATATACCATTAAGAACTGTAAACAAAATCTAAACATAAAAAGAATATCATACCTCATTTGTGACCAACTGGCAGCAAAAGTAGCATTTGAGATTGCCCAAACAGCCTCTTTCTTGATATCAAACTGTGCATTTTGAAGCAGACGGACCAGAGGATCAATTATGCCAGCATTAATTACAGCCTGCAGAATTTCAAAATCATCCATAAACTATACATAAAATAACTAACAATTAGAAATCACAAAACAGAACAGTTTCTTATAAACAACCAGTACCTGAATCTGCTCCATGTTGCCGGTAGTGATGTTGGAGATGGTCCAACAAGCTTCCCTCTTAATGTTGGTCTCGGACTCATTTGTCAACAGAAGAAGAAGATGACGTAATACGCGTTGGTCGATGATAAACTAGAGGAAGTGAAAGTATAGTCAAGCACCTTCGAATGAAAACTTCACCAATCATAAAAATTAATGTATTCACTTTAATTGATGTATTCATTTTTATTTTTAGGCACTTGACCAAACTGTTGATTGAGCTATAATAAATGGTGCTATTCAACACCTCAATCAGTAGTAACCAATAACCCAAATGTACATTATGACCACTGATATTACTCCTGACTTGCAGTAAACCTAACTAGCTCAAACACCTAAACCTAATTAGTTAAGACATGAAACAATAACATGATAAAATTGTCCATCCATCAAGCTCTACTTCAGTCTATTCAGAGTCGTTCAGCAACTCCATTCTGTGCTTCAGTTGGTGCAGAGAAGAGCCAATAAAAGGATTATGACTCGAAAGTATATGTTACCGCAAGAAAGACTTGGTTATGCTCCACAGTAATATGTTTAGCATGGAAATATAATATCACTTGCATTTGTTTCTCATTTCCAGTTGCAATATTTCCAATGGTACGAAGAGCAAGAAAGATCACCGACGGCGAAGAAGGGTGACTGAAAATTCCGAAACAAAGAAAATGTTAGTCTTAGTATGCATAACAACTACCAGAAAAGACTAAAAATTCCATAAACCAAAGTACCCAAAAACCATATAAAATTAAATAAAATCCTCACTCCAAAAGCTCGACGAGCTTGGGGATCACTCCCGAATCCACAACCGTTTGTATGTCATCATGTGTGCCGTTGGAGAGGTAAGCGATAGCTCGACACGCTTCCTGCAACACCTCTATATCTGCCAACTGAATGAGACGAATTGGCAGTGCCTCTTGTGTCTGCAATATTTTAAAACATAAAAACCAGAAATATAAAAAAATGCTTAATTGGATCAACTATACTCAAGCAGCACGTATCTGACATGCAAGTACCTAAAAACATGGGAGAAAATTCGAAACAGCAGGTCAGAGAGAACCACCTTATCAAATGCTGGTTGGGGTTTGCCCCCACAAAGATTAGCAAGTGTCCATGTAGCACTTCTCAGCATTGAAGGCTTAGTCTGTCCATAAAATTGCGCCAATAATGGACCCATTGCATTTTGGTTTAGGATCTTGTCGCGAGTTCCAGGCAAATCTGCAGCTATATTTCCTAAAGCCCAAATGGCCTACAATGAAACGAACCACACACCCATTATTAATTTATATCGCAAATGCAAAACTATAAGCTAAAACTAAAAGTAAGAAAAAAAACCAAGAACAGTTATGTACCTGCTCCCGGATGTCATATCTAGGAGATTCTAGTAATTCAATAAAAACAGGGATGGCCCCGTGAGCAATTACCACCTTTGTATGCTCGGATGTGCCCGCCGCAATGTTTGTGAGGCACCAAGCCGCCTCAAACTATAGAAAACATTGTGAACATAAAGAATAAAACTAAAAGACTTTCATCTTAGACATAACATGTTGTACCTGAAGTTGTGGATGGTCTTTCATCCCAAGAAACTTGACAAAATATGGAAGAACACCAGACTTGATGACTTGTTCGATTGGAGGATAGAATTCTGATAAAAAGCTAAGGTTAAGATTGATCTTCAAATCATAAAACACTAAACTTCATATGCACAAACTCTCACCTTCTGTCAAGAGTTCCTTCAATTTAGCAGTCATCTGAAGCTGCCGATCGGGATCATTAGACAAAACCCCTGAAATCATTGTAGGTAGCTGTTCCAACTGCAACAGAAACCGAATATTTCCACAAACAGGCTGTTATTAAATTTCGCACAATTGCTTATATATATTTAACATTTTAAATTGATATAATTAATAATTGAATTTCAATAATTCCAATGTACAACAATTCAACAACATAGACTCTAATGGCATTTCAAGAATATCAATCAGATCCAATATACCAATTAGTAATAGCATTTATCAAAATATATTTATGTGTATATATATAGGGTTCGCATTTAGCATAGACTCTAACCTCTTCAAATTCTAATCATAATATATTAAAACAAAAACAAAAAAAAAAAACAAACAAACAAACAAACAAGAGATACCTTCTTCTGGATCTCATTATACTCCAAAATGGAGTGCCCCTGCTGGCGTTTCTTCTGCAAGGTAGATTCTCGTTCTTTCTTCCTCAAGTCCGTCATTTCAGATTTCCGTCGACTTACATAACTTCCCGGAACGAGTGACTTGTATTGTCTGAACGACATTGTGAGAGAGGCGTAAGAAAAAGTATGGTAGCTAGGGTTTTAGAAGGATGGTGAGGAAAACTAGAGAGGCGTAAGAAAAGGTTTGGCTAGGGTTTTTGAAGGTTTTAAATAAACAATCGTTTAATTAAAACTAGCACTTGTTCTAAGTTCGTGGCATATATAAAATAGATTAAATTCTTTCTTTTTTGGGAAATAGATTAAAAAAATGCAACAGTGATTGGCATGACCTATTTTGATAAGTGTGTAGCACATTAACTGCAATAATAATAATAATAATTATTATTATTATTTACACATAACCGGCTATTCAAAATCCTGCAAGTCAAAGGCCAAAATGGAAGACATTCTAATTCCATTTAGAAAGAAATTATTAAATGGTTTTGATTCATAAATCTTTAGTAGGTTAGTTAAATTCAATTGAGTCACACTAACCATTACCAAAAGAATGGTAGTCATGACCGAGCAAATCAAGCAAGAAAATCAGCACAACAATTGTAACATTTTTTTTATATAAACAAGTGAAAAAGCATGGGAGAAATGGCACTGGGAACTGAAACCCATTCATTTGTAAAACCCATTTAAATAAGTTCAGCCAAAAAATAGGCCCAATCCAAAATTCCATTTAGTAAAAAGAATAATCCGGACTTTACAATTAGGCCCAGGCCCAGGCCCAAGCCCAAGCCCAAATCCTAAACTTAGCTTATTTAAACTTCAATTGGTTTCAACATTTTTTTCTATGTAGGACAAACACTTCCCACATTTTGCATACCCATTTAGACTTATCAAGACACCACACTTTGAAACTAATTTCTCATTCACCCAGAAACGAATTTGAGAAAATAAATATACCGAACGCTTTCGTTTATAGATTCACATAAAATTCTTAGCAATTTCATCCAAAGTTTCTGTTTTGTATACTCCGTTTCCAACAATCCCCCACATGAATGGAAATTAGCATCAATTGCAAATGAAAAAGATACAGACACTAAAGAGAGTACTATTAGAAGGTAACTGCATCGGGATCGGTAGCTTTTGGCCTTGAACCTTCCCTAGTGTATTACTATGGAATTACTGGCTAACCAGTGAACATGATGTCTTGAACTATTCAGCCTTTGATGTAAACTAAAACAATAGCAAACACACAGTTCCTTCTCGCACAAAATCGGTTCTCACGGTTGTGTTCATATGGCCCTAAACAACTCCTGGTATTTCATGAGCGCTCTAGAAAACTTAGCCTTAGAAGTTCTCATAGAAGCGGCCCCACTTTACACTCATATAGATGATTTCTTATTAAGAATATCCTACTATACCCCACTTGAATTTTTAAGGTATAAGAGTCATTAAAAGCATAGTTTATCTTACTTATCGTTGTAGGTAACACTATCTCATTATAGAAATGGGTAGAAGATTAAATCTTTCCAGTGCTTCTGGTGAGCCATTTAGAATTTCTGTTATCCCTTTGAACCTAGATCTTGGGATCTCCAGTCAACTAAGATGACTCGTTAGCTTTCGGCTTTAATCCCATTCCCCTCGATGAACTATACACTTGCTCTCTTGTCAAACCTTTTGTAAACGGATCCGCTAAATTATCTTTTGACCCGATATAATCTATTGAGATTATCCCACTTGAGAGTAATTGTCTAATGGTATTATGTCGTCGACGTATTTGTCGAGACTTACCGTTATATATATTACTTTGTGCCCTTCCAATTGCTGATTGACTATCGCAATGTATACATATAGCGGGCACAGGTTTAGGCCAATTTGGAATATCTTCTAAGAAATTACGAAGCCACTCAGCTTTTTCACTAGCTTTATCCAAAGCAATAAATTCAGATTCCATAGTGGATTTGGCAATACAAGTTTGTTTTGAAGATTTTCAAGATATGACACCTTCTCCAATAGTAAAGACATAACCACTTGTGGATTTAGAATCCTTCGTATCTGATATCCAATTAGCATCACAGTATCCTTCAAGTACTGCTGGATATCTAGAATAATGTAATCCATAACTTATGGTATATCTTTAATACCTTAGAACCCTAATTATTGCAGTCCAATGGTTATTTCCTGGATTACTTGTATATCTACTCAATTTATTAACTGAGTATACTATGTCTGGTCGTGTGCAATTCATCAAATACATTAAGCTTCCTATAATGCATAAATACTCAAGTTGTGATATGTTAGGACCAGTATTTTTAGATAAATGAAGATTTACATCAACATGAGCCTTTACAAGACTACTATCTTCTTTATTAAACTTTTCTAATATTTTTCCAATATAATGAGATTGAGATAATACTAAACCATCTGATACTCTAGAAATCTTGATTCCTAGTATGACATCAGCTATGCCTAAATATTTTATATCAAAATTTTTGGTCAACATCTTTTTAGTAATTTTGATTATAACATCATTACTACCCATTACTAGCATATCATCCACATATAGGCACACAACGATAAATCCATTTTGAGTGTTTTTCACATAAACACATTTATCACACTCATTAATTTTAAAACCATTTATAAACATCACCTTGTCAAATTTTTCATGCCATTATTTAGGTGTTTGTTTCAATCCTTATAAGGATTTTACAAGCTTGCACACCTTCTTTTCTTTTCCTGGAACTATAAAACCTTCAGTTTGTTCCATATAAATTTCCTCCTCTAATTCACCATTCAAGAATACAATCTTAGCAACAATTTAATGTATTTCTAAATTTTGCAATGCTGCAATAGCTAATAACAATCTAATGGATGTTATTCTTGTGACTGGTGAATATGTATCAAAATAATTCAAGCCTCCTTTTGCCTATATCCCTTAGCAACAAGTCAGGCTTTATATTTATCAATTAAACCATCATGCTTCATCTTCCTCTTGAAAATCCACTTATACCCTAAAGGTTTAGTACTAGGAGGAAGATCCACTAGCTCCCAAGTATGATTTTGCATGATGGATTCAATTTCACTATTTATGGCTTCTTTCCATAAAGAAGCTTCAGGAAAACACATAACTTCCTTATAGTTTTGTGGCTCATTCTCCAATATATATGTCAAAAAATCAGACCAAATGACTTAAACGTTCTACCTCTTTTACTACGTCTAGGTTCTTCCTTATTTTCATCATCTATAGACTCTTGGTCTATAGTATATTGTATATTACTATTAGCAATATCATGATTTCTTTTAAGAGGATTTTAACATGGAAATATATCCTCAAAGAAATAAGCATTATTGACTCAATAATTGTATTGACATGGATATCAGGAATGTTTGATTTATGCACAAGGAAACAATATACATTATTATTCTGTGTATAGCCTATAAAATTACCATCAAAGGTTTTTGGTCCTATCTTAACTTTCTTTGGAGTAGGAACCGCAACCTTAGCTAGACACCCCCACACTTTTATATGAAGGTTTTTGACATTTCCATAATTCATAAGGTGTCACATTTGTTTTCTTTTGAGGTATATTGTTGAAAACATAATTAGCAAAAAGCAAAGCTTTCCCCCACAAATTCTGAATTAAACCAGAACTTATCAACATAGCATTCATCATTTCTTTTAGGGTACGATTTTTGCGTTCAACAACACCATTTTGTTGAGGTGAATAAGGTGCGGTAGTTTGGTGAATAATACCATGTTCTGAGCAAATGTCAGCGAATGGTGCTTCGTATTTACCACCTCTATCACTTCTAAACACCTTTATCTTTTTGTCAAGTTGATTCTCAACCTCATTCTTGTAATGTTTAAACATTTCCAAGGCTTCATCTTTGTTTCTTAACTAGTATACATAACAGTATCTTGTACAATCATCAATAAAAGTAACGAAATACTTTTTCCCACCTCTGGTTGGCATAGATTTAAAGTCATATATATCACTATGAATTAATGCTAGAGGTTCAGTACTTCTCTCTATAGAATGAAATGAGGTTCTAGTCAATTTTGCTTATACGCATGTTTGACATTTTTTATTTAAATCAATACTAAATTTAAGTATAGAATCCATGTTAATTAATCTATGAATCGTATCATAATTAACATGTTCTAACCTTCCATGCCACACATCAGATGACTCAATCATATACGAAGAAACATTTGCTTTATTTTATTAATAGATTTGGGTACAACAGTTATTACATTGAATTTGAATAATCCATCAATAAGGTACCATTTGCCCACATACACCCCATTCTTAGTAAGCACAAATTTATCAGATACAAGTACCAGCTTGAATCATTTCTTTCTTAGGAGTGATCCAAAGACCGAGTTCTTCCTGATGTTTGGTACATGCAGCACATTATTCAGAGTGATCTCTTTCCCCGAGGTCATCAGCAGCTTAATTTTTCCTTGTCTTTCAACCTTTGCAGTAAAAGAGTTTCCCATGTAGAGTTGTACTCCATGATCTATAGCTTCATAACTAATGAACATCTTCTTTTCTGAGCAAACATTACAAGTAGCCCCTGTGTCTACCCACCATTAGCAAATAAGCATGCCTTTTAAAACCGTAAACACATTAGCAATTAAGCAAGTAAACATGTTTCTCAGGTAAAAAACACTTTAACACATAAACAATGCAATCCACCTTCCACACAACCCTAGGTCGGCCTCTACCCGTCGTCCTATTAGTTTTCGAACCTCAGGCTTTGATACCAAATTTGTAACGACCCGAGCCCGATGGTCCGTATCGCTAACTGGTTCCTTATCCGAACCCGAGGTCAACTAAGGACACTACCGTCCTTTCCTATGTCAATACATAATGATAAAAATAAAAATAATAATGGGATCATAGCTACAAAATATGTCAAAACAGTCCACTAACTCGTCAAAAAAACTGTAGAGGAGCGTCGTCCGCCACTTCCCTTTCATATCATGAAAAATGTTAATAATAAAATGGGGTGAGCCACAGCTCAGTAGGAAGTGTCTAAGACATGCATCTTACGACCCCATGAATCCATATAAGGAATATAATACAATGGGATCATGCCTCGGGGAAAGCAAGTAAAGCAACGGTGATATCAACAAATATATATGCAAATCGTCTAACCACCAAATATACAATGTATGCCAACGCAATGCCATGCCATGCAATGTCGC